CGCCCACCTGTCTCTAACCCCGCCCACCAGGGTTAAACCACGCCCATTTGACACTAAACCCCGCCCACCAGGGTTAAACCACGCCAATTTACCATTAAACCCCGCCCATGTCCCCTAAACCCCGCCCACCTGCTTTAAACCACGCCCATTTGCCATAAAACCCCGCCCACTAGTGGTAAGTCCCACCCACTAGTGTTAAACCACGCCCACCAGTGTTAAACCACGCCCAGCAGTGTTAAACCCCGCCCAGCACTGTTAAACCCCGCCCACCAGTGTTAAACCACGCCCACCAGTGTTAAACCCCGCCCATTTTCCATCAAGCCCCGCCCATTATCATTGGGCTCCTCCCTATCTCCTCTTAGGCTCCACCCACTTTTATTTAGCCCCGCCCATAATTTCTAGGCCACACCCACCTCGCTAGACCCCGCCCACCACAAGCGAGCCACACCCACCTCGTTAAACCCCGCCTAACTGCCTTAAACCCCGCCCACCTGTGTTAAACTCCACCCATTTGTCATTAAACCCCGCCCACCACCCTTAAACCACGCCCATTTGTCATTAAACCCCGCCCACCTGAATTATACCCCGCCCACCAGGGGTTAAACCCCGCCCACCACCCTTAAACCCCGCCCACCTGTCTTAAACTCCACCCATTTGTATTTAAACCCCTCCCACCACCCTTTAACCCCGCCCACCAGTGTTAAACTCCACCCATTTGCCATCAAACCCCACCCACCAGTGTTAAACCCCGCCTATTTATCATTAAACCCCGCCCATCATTGTTAAACCCCGCCCATTTGTCATTAAACCCCGCCCACCTGAATTAAACCCCGCCCATTTGCCATCAAACCCCGCCCACCTTCATCAAACCCCACCCACCAGTGTTAAACCACGCCTATTTATCATTAAACCCCGCCCATCATTGTTAAGCCACGCCCATTTGTCATTAAACCCCGCCCACCAGTGTTAAACCACGCCCACTAGTTTTAAACCACGCCCACATGCATTAAACCCCGCCCACCTGCATCAAACCCCGCCCACCAGGGTTAAACCCCGCCCTCCTCCTTAAAACGCCGCCATTTTGAAATGCCGCCATCTTGAAATGCGGCCATTTTGATAGTCCGCCATTTTCAAACTCCATNTTAAACCCCGCCCTCCTCCTTAAAACGCCGCCATTTTGAAATGCCGCCATCTTGAAATGCGGCCATTTTGATAGTCCGCCATTTTCAAACTCCATCTTAAAACCTCGCCATTTTGCAACTCCGCCATTTTGAAACTCCACCATCTTAAAGTCTCACCATTTTGAAATGCCACCATCTTAAAACTCCGCCATCTTGAAAACCCGCCATTTTAAAACTCCGCCATCTTAAAACTCCATCTCAAAACTCCGCCATCTTGAAACTCCCCCATCTTAAAACGCCCCCATTTTGAAACTCTGCCATCTTGAAACTCCACCATCTTAAAACGCCCCCATTTTGAAACTCTGCCATTTGAAACTCCACCATCTTGAAACCCCACCATTTTAAAAATCCACCGTCTTTAAAGCCTGCCATTTTGCAACTCCGCCATCTTGAAACTCCTCCATCTTAAAACTCCATCTCAAAACTCCGCCATTTTGAAACTCCGCCATCTTAAAACTCAGCCATCTTGAAGTACCACCATCTTAAAACTCTGCCATCTTAAAACCCCGCCATTTTGAAACTCCACCATATTAAAACTCTGCCGTTTTGAAACTCCATCTTAAAACCCTGCCATTCTGCAACTCCGCCATTTTGAAACGCTGCCATTTTGCAACTCCGCCTTCTTAAAACCCAGCCATTTTGAAACTCCGCCATCTTGAAACCGTGACGTTTTGCAACTCCGCCATCTCAAAACTCCATCTCAAAACCCCGCCATCTTGAAACTCTGCCATCTTAAAACCCCGTTATTTTGCAACTCCGCCATTTTGGAACTCCACCATCTTGAAACCCCGCCATTTTGCAACTCCGCCATCTTAGAACCCTGCCATTTTGAAATGCCAGCATCTTAAAACTCCGCCATCTTGAAACCCCACCATTTTGCAACTCCACCATTTTACAACTCCATCT